GACAGGCACGCGCATCAGGGAACCCTGTGTGGAAGTGTGCTGGGATCCGTACTTGTTAAACTTCTATTCCATAATTGTGACGAGCAATGTGTCATGATTGCATCCTCGTTGGATAATTATATTACAAGACGTAGAGTAGCGACAGGCACGCCCATCCGGGATGCCTGTGCGATAGTGTGTTGGGAGAGATTCAGACTTCTTTAGAAGTAAAAACAGTTATTTTCGACATACAATTTATTTTTTCCGGTCACGAACGCAAAATTGTCGGTTACATGTAATCCAGGCGGTACATGATTGTCTATGCACACAAGAGACGTGATGTCACTGGTCTTTTACTCTTTGCATAACGAACCTTACACACACCCACACACTTGTCGAGGTTTCTCTTGCATCCACACTCCAATTCGTCATGTCGCACCACACACACGAATATCATTTCGAGGTGAATTAGATGCCCATCTTTGAATGACCTGGACACAATTTGCAACGACGACTGCAATGCGATGAATGTAATGGCACGACAGACGAGCCGGACCTGACAGAGATTCTGAACGCAACACGCGACGCTAGACTGACAGTCAGCATACCAAAGATAACTTAAACTCGCAACACCAAAAGAAAGTAATGTCGTTGTGAAAGCGACAGTCAAAATATGAAATATTCTAAAACAAAAGTTTGCAAATCAATCGAATCCATCAAAGACAACGGCATTCTAAGAGACATGATGTCAATTGTCGTCTAACAAACGGAATATTTTTACAAGAGAACTTGAAAGGCTGTCGATCGCCACGTTGCAACAGTGTCGCAAACATCAACATAAACACCCCGCAACTAACTCCATCCACTTGTCTTGGAACTCCCTCTATAATAACATTTGTTGCTACCGACTTCCAGCACCTGCACGACCGCCTATGTGATGTTTGACATTCCAAATAGTGTACGATCAACTCGAAAACACTAAGGTAAAAACTAGAATTGGCCACAATGCAAGGAAAAAAATCGAAAATCTCAAGAACATCATCTCTCAAGTTCATGGAAAGGAGGATCCAGTGATCATTATCTTTGAGGACCGGAACGAAGATAATATCATATTGAAGCAGATCCACGTTTTTAGCCCATCTTTCCACCTCGCCGTGTTCTTGAAGTTGCAGTTTACTGAAAAACTTGAAGAAAGAGTTGAAGTTGAAGACTCGAAGGCCTGACGGGATGTCACATATCCCATATGCGGTCGTTCCCAGTAGCGCGATGTAAAAGTTGACGACCTCATCATTTACCCTGCCGTCGGTAAGTGAGAGGGTTAGAATATCCTCCGCTGCAATGCGCAACTGACCATCGTCGAGGGTCGAGAGTACAGTGTCTGGTGGTACCAAGCCTCGTTCAATGTCGTCCAAGACCCGCAAACTTCCAATTGTAGTCACTGCTGTTCCAGGTGCCGTGGCCCGCACTGCACAACATCGAGCAAAGGACAGGGGGGGAAGTGAGAAACGGAACTCTAAGGATTCTCGTTCATCACACGACGAGTAGCTAAGTATTTCTCATACATGGTCTGACCCCTAGTCCTAGATCGTGGATATCTCCATTTCTCTGGGGGCAGAAGAGAAAGAAACTCCTCAATGGCAATGGCATGCTTCTTCTTTCCGATTTCGACATCAACCCCTGATGCCTTTAACATGTCCTTGTGTTTTGTCGTCAACCCCGGGACTATCTGCAATATGTCTTCTGGATATTTAGAGGGCCTCCGTGTTCGAGATGACCCTACCGCTGTACAACAGACGAAAGACAAAACAGAAAATGAATACACGATTACGAAGAAGAACCCCGCGGAAGGACAATAAAAGAACCACGAAATCTAAAAGACGCAGGACCTATGCAATTACAGAACCCTATCATGCCATGAGAGTGCGAGAGAGAGAACTTCCACATTAGCCACGCTGCAAAACAAAACGAGCAGTGCACAACATGTTATTCATTAAAACAGTACATTATTGTGTGTACTATTTTGAAACGAATTTATGACAAAGTGTATAGTCTGGTGTAGTATTCCAGATCCGGATACATCCAAACAACGAGTGAAGCAGCTTTGAGGCGAGGAGCACAATCAGTACATATATCTGCTGCGCTCCTCTCGTGGTTCGGATGTGTCCAGATGTGGAACACCACAACAGCGTATACATTGTGTTATGCGCCTCTGAGTCAGTACATATATCTGCTACCACTGTGTTATATGTACTGCTGCCTCAGTACATATATCTCATCTGTCCAGATGTGGAACACCAGAACAGAGTAATATATTACACTCTGTCATAGTTTCCCTTGCAGTTGAGCATCCCACTCATCCGAATCAGAACAGTATAATGACACAAACTCGAGTTTGTGAGTAAAACGAGTTGTGCCTCTTCACAAACTTAGAGGAGTAGGATGACCTGTATTGAGAAGTGTAAGGACCGGAATGAATTGGAGTTCTGCACCGATGATCGTGTACATGTATAGTGCGAGAGAGATAAAAAGAGAGAGAGAGACAGAAAGAGCGGGAGAGACAGAGACAGAAAGAGCAAGAGACAAAGAATCTTAGAGAGACTGTACTTAATTTTCAAGAGACGCAGGGTCGAGCACAYGCGTAGACCATCAGCCTCGTTTTTTAAAGCATTTCAGACGATCGTTGTAGGAGAGCAGCAAGGTAATGTGAATCTCCAAGAAAAGCGAAGCTCGGATGTATCCGAGATCATAGGAGGTAGACAGACAGAGGAAGTCCGTAAGAAATGGTCGTGCACATTTGAAGTGTGAGAGATATAAAAAAAAAAAAGAGAGACAGAAAGAGCGAGAGACAGAGTGTCTCAGAGAGACTGTACTTAATTTTCTCGAGACGCCGCACGGACGGTGCAGGGTTGAGCACACGCGGAGATCATCAGCCTCGCTTTTAAAAGCATGTCAGACTACCGTTGCAGAAGAGCAGCAAGGCAATGTGATTTTCCCAGATAAGCGAAGTTCGGATATATTCGAGATCACAGGAGATTCACAGACAGGGAGCCCGCAAGAAATGGCATATTAGCACGCGAGAGGGCTGAGAGATGGAAAAGACAAGCACCGTATAGTCACCCACAGCATTTCGTGTTACGGACGTATCCGAAGTGTCGAACTAGTATAGACCCTTCAGTTTGAAGCTTCCCCTGTGCTTTTTGGGACAAAGTTCAAGAAGTATCTTTTGCGAAACTAAGAGAGAGAGAGAGAGAGAGAGAGAGAGAGAGAGAGAGAGAGAGAGAGAGAGAGAGAGAGAGAGAGAGAGAGACAAACGTCGTACCATCATCCACCACATTTCTGATCCATCCGGAGTGTGTCGGCTATGAGTCGCTTCGCTACGATCTGGACAGAGCTGACAGAGATAGAAAGAGCGCGTCAGAGAGATGGAGAGGGAGGCAAAGACAGAGACAGGGACATAGACAGAGACACAGAGAGGGACAGAGAGTGTGAATGATCGCACTGGATTTTCTTTTCATGTCGACATGTGGCACAGGAGACGCATGTTCGAGAAACATGCGAAAACCACAAGTGTAGCTGTAAAAGAGTTGCAAGGTTTTCGTTAGGCGAGAGTAAGCCAAGTTCGGATGCATCCGAGATGACAGGGGAGAGGAAGTCCGAAGCAAACAGCAATTGAGCGCACTAGACACAG